AATAAACAGCAAAATATAAGAAATTAAAAAAAATATATTTAGAAATTGAAAGGTACGAAAATGGGAAAGGTACAATACCAAATAAATAGTCATTTGAATAATTTTCAAGTTAAAGTATAATAACCCAAGAAAATGGTAATCAATATCAAATATATAATTATTGTTAGTATTGTTGATAAACGGGTTGTTTTGAGTCAAAACGGCTAACTCAATATTTTAGCCAGAAAAAATATTGCCTGAACCTCGATATTTCGATAAAATATGTTCTAGACCTTTGTTCTTTCTATGAACAAAATCACCGGGCTTGCGTAATAATTTTTTTCTGGATAAAATATCGAACCGTTGAACAACACTGGTGAGTAGGGCTCTTGGGTAGAAGAGCGGATTGTATTTGTAATTTTTTCAAAAAATTATTCACTAATTTTTACTTTGTATCGTCGTTACTTTTTTTAAAAAAAGTATTAATTTGTCTTACTATATATTTTTATTTTTTTAATGGCATCATATCCCAATTTTTTTTTACTATTTTTTTCGTAGGATAAGGGTAAATTTGTTTATTATCCTTTAAATAATATTTTTTTACCGAACCCTAGCATATTTGCTAAAAAGTGGAGGAATGGGATCGCAACTCACCCCCCCCCCTCTCTTGATCTTGATTATTCTGGAAGATAAATTACCATACCCTTTTACGGTTTAAAAATATCGTGTTGAAGTAATTTTTATATCCTTTTTGAATGGTATTAGCCTAACACCTTTACAATGGAAAAATTTAATCTCCCATGCGATTGCGCTAAAAAAAAATTTCAATAGGAGTTTTCCTGTATCGGGGGATTAAATTCTCTATGCACGCCAAGCAGAGACAATTTCAATCAACCGATTCTCTGTCGTAATTTTTGAGATAAGTTTCCATTCTCGGCAAACGAAGAAAAGGTGTCCTCGTATTAATTGGTATTGCTAGTGTCCCTAACCGGCTCATTTTGAGCCGATCTCTAAAAACGGCTAACTCAGTATTTTAGCCAGAAAAAAAATTTCCTAAGCCTCGAGGTTTCGATAATATGTGCCTAGAACTTTGTTCCTTCTATGAGCAAAATCTTCAGGGGCTTGCGTAATATTTTTTTCTGGATGAAGCATTGAGTTAGCCGGTTTTTAAAAATCGACTCAAAACGAGCCGTTTAACAACACTAGGTATTGTTGATCAAAATATACGGTGATCTTAATATATTTGGGGAAAAGGAGCCTAAAAAAATGTATTTGAAAGTATGCAATGCTTCCATGGGATTTTTTATAAGGGGGTGGGGGGGGGGAGATGTTAATCCCTCGAACCATGTTTTAAATTCTGAAGATAGATTGGCTCAGAATATATTTATACTTCTATGAACAAAATTATGCTAAATATTAAATCCTCAGACGGATTTCTAAGTATAATAATATTCGTAAATTGGATTAAAGCCATTTGAACGGTTCAATGGTTGATAGGTTTGAAATAATGTATTAAAAGCGCAAATTATAACGGTCACAGTGAACCTCAATTGAGTTTCACATTGGGAAATGGAAACTATTTGTTTTAGTCTCTAGATGCAAGTCTAGACTGACGAATCTTAAAATCATATAATCTAGCTTCCGCCTCAAATAACCATACAAATCTCGTAAAAACTCTTGGTCGATATCATCTCTTCGGTTTTCTAAGTTGTATTGCAATAATATTTTCGTGATCAACATAACCCCCCAACAAAATCCATTTCGTTTTCTAGAAAAATTGTGCAACTTGTTATGAAACCTTCAGATAAAATATCCGGTTAAGCTTACTCCGATATTTCTTAAAGGACAAATCAAAATACGTTCTTCTAGGTCCGAAGAGGCTGAAACCTTGATCTCAAGAGTAGTGTTAATATTTTATCCAGAAAAATATTGCCTAAGGCCTCGTGATTTCGCTAATTGATGTCTAGAACCTTGTGTCATCCACGAGCAAACTCTTTAGGCTTGCGTTATATTATTCTAGATAAATATTGTGTCAGCCCTTTCTTAGAAATCGGCTCAAATCTAGCCGTTTAACAACACTACTCAAAAGCTACATCTTGTCGGGCATCTTCTTGGAGTTATTTTTTTTCCCTGTAGAAGAAGCCTCACAAATAATCCTATTTTATTCGCCAAATTCTGTAGGATTTAATACATTTTAGAAATTTTGACCTAAGTAATAGTTATTTATAGAGAGATAAATTAATTTAGAATTTTGTTTTAGTAGGTAAAATTTTTTATCCATCAGTGTTGCAGACTTAAAAAAATGATGGAAAAATTTTCACTAAATATTCGCAGGGGGGGGGGGGGGGGTAAATATTAATACAGAGGAAAGATAATATTTAAATTAATTTTCAGGGATGTGAAACTAAACCCGTACCCTGAACCCTCCTATTTTGGCTGTACCCAATCCCGGAAGAACCCTTTTTAAAAGTGAAGTGTCCAAGAGTTCTAAGTGTCAAAATAGAAGTGCATCCGAATATATAAATTAGAATAAATATTACAAACATTAAATAAATTTTGTATTCCTATAAGATATGTTTACACAATTGCTACTACGGAGTGATAATCTTGTGAAATCGATTAAATTTATTAAATGAATGTTCTAGCGGGGTCCCTATTAAAATTAGGAGTATTGCGCTGGAAGAGAAGGATACGATGATGATGATAATTATGATGACATAAAATGAAATTTACAGGTAATTGAATAGAAGATTTCTCCACAAATATATATTGCATTAGATGCACAGCCCCATACTCTACAATTGGCTATTAATGATAACCTAAAAAAATATTCACCTTAAAATGATCATTGATAATAGTATTGTTAAATAACCTAACTTTGATCATCTCTAATGTGGTTTATTCAACAAGCTTTTAGCCTAAAAATCTAATTTAAGCCTCTAAATTGAGTCTGAAGATTGATTCGAATATTTTTGGATAAATACATAACTACGCTGTTTTATAGTTGACTAACGTTAGGTAATTTAACAACACTAATTGATAAAGTAAGGGATGTTTGAACTCACACAATTGCTAGAATATACAAAATCCATTAGAAGGTCGATGGCAATATTAAATCGTACACGTTGGTCCTCAATCTGTTCTGTATGATGCTAGAACGATTATTAAGTTCGAAAGATTCTGTACCGATTTTATTATGGTAGCATGTGAAGTCGTTTTGTCGGAAGATGATTGGTGCCATCCATATAAGAGACCTTACTAGTGTATTAGTTTCTTTAAAAATAACAACTTTATGATTACAATCAGAACAATAATGTTTTATCTGATTTTTATGGAATATTGGAGGCTACTTCAACACCTAATGATTGCAGTGATATAATGATAATGATAGCAACTATTGATGATCTTGAAATTTTATTAGTAGATAGAGAAAAAAAATCAAATTATCAACAGATAGAAAGGGGGAACAAAAAAAATGCTTATTACATCTTTAATAGAAAGGTTTTCAGAAGTTAAGAGAACAAAATATTTCAAAATTCTGAGAAGAAAATTCTTATATCCAAAATTATATATCTTGATTTTGTTTAGAATCGTCTTGGCTGCAGCGGCGACACAAGTACACAATAAAGGTCAGCGTAGAACGTGCATTTTTTTCTTAGGAAATATATATTATATAAATCTACTTGGAAATCTTGAGGATGATATTTTAGAAGATACTTTGCTTGTGCGACCAAATAAAACATTTAAAAAAATATAAATTATTTCATTTTTTTTAAATTTTTATAAATTATGAATGTGTATATACAAAGACCCTTTTTTTAAAATTTTATTTCTGTACCAGAACCCGTACCTTTTTAACATTTTATTCCAATTATTTAAATTTTAAAAATTCTAGTATAAGTTGAACCTACTATATATAAATAACCAATCAAATCTAAATTTAAAAAAAAAATATTACTTATATTATGTATGTTGCAGGACAAATTCTGAAATTAGAATTCTACTTCACAGACACAGGCTTTAAAAATTTTAAAAACTTAAATTATCTGTAGCAGAATATGTTTTAAAAAAAAATGTTTTGCTTGAAAATCAAACAAAAAGAAAAAGTGCAAAAATTCCCTTTATAAATTTAGAAAAATGTTAAATAAAAACATATATTTCAAAAGACTATTAATTAACCTTTATCTTAATATTTTTTTAAAATAAATCCAAGAATTTTAAATATTTCATTAAAGTTAAGGAAAATTATAGTCTGGTTATTTTTGTTGAGGCATATCGTTGTGTGGATATTCTAACTGGGAGATTGCTCACTTGCCTTACTATATAAATAGTGATTAATAAAAAATTGGTGCTAATTTGGTTAATTAAATGCTTATTTTAATATGGCTGTGATTATGTTTATATTGATTTAATGAATACTAATTTAAATATTTAGACAATATTTTTAAAAATACTTTCATATTTAATGTTTTTTAAAATTAATAATCATTTTTATTAGAAAAATTGAATCTAATTCCACCAAGAATTAAATTATTTATATTTTATTATTAATATTGATAAAAGTATTAATAGAAAGAATATTAAGGTTTATTTATAATTCTATTTTTATACTTGAGTGATTAGCAAAGTAATTTCATAATTTAATTTTAATTAATATTGTGTGGAGTTTAAATACTTTTAGCTGGCTAGAATTCATCATTCTAAAATAAATGATTATTTAAATATGATAGAAACACATATCAGAAAAATCTAAAAAACTGTCAAAATGTAGGTTACTTAATTTATAATTATAATTCCTAAATAAACCTATGAGAAAATTTTAAATCTATTAATCAGAGATAACCAAATTTATTTAAACATTTAAACATATTGTAAAGATATAGATAAGATATTCGTGATTGTATATTAAAATATATATATATGTCAATTTCAAAATATAAAAATGGCAAATAAATATAATCCTTTATATCTCCAACTCCAAGCAATTTATATTAATGTGCATTGGAAAAATAAATTATTACCTTTATCATTACTAAATTTCACATTGTTGGCATGTGACGAGGTGGCCGAGTGGTTAAGGCGATGGACTGCTAATCCATTGGGTTTTCCCGCGTGGGTTCGAATCCCATCCTCGTCGAATTTATTTTTAAATGTCTTTTTTTTGTATTATTTTAAAATTTATATTTCATTTCAAATTTATTGTAATTAATTAGTAATTAAATTTCAAATTTGTAATAACTAATTAGTAATTAAATTACCTTTTATTGATAAAATCATAATGCTATTGAAGCAAATTAAGGCAATATTATGTATTTTTTGTTCAAAGTGATCCAACCGAACAGGGGGTAACCGTTAATAATACAGAACCTGAACCGTTAAAAATTGCTTAACCCTAAGACTGTAAAATGATAAGAAAACCAGTTTGAACCTTTTGATATCCTGGAAACCTTTTTATATCGCTATTTGAAGGTAAATACCTACCCAAAGTTATCTTATAGAAGTGTTACCAGCCATGGATTCTTTCTCTCCCTCTGATCCCCTTTTCTCCACATTTTTATGGTCCTTGGAGCAGCTATCATGTGACCTAATACAAAATGGAGGCGCCCGTGCTAGAAATAATTAAAATAATTTATGAATGAAAAAAATAATTGATAATATTATGAATAATTGGCGATTTAGTATAAAATCATAAATATATATAGCAAGTATATGTAGCAATAATTATTTTATAAAAAAATGGCGCATAATTGACAGTGCTGTTAAGTTGGTCAATAATTTAATATTTCTATAAATGAATTTTTTTTTAAAATTTATATATTTTATTGGTTAATTTTAAGAAATTAAAAATCTACCTCCCTAACTTAAATAAAAATCTTGAAAAATGCCAGGTGTAATAAATATTTCAATTCTGAACCAATGATTGATTAATTGAAGTTAGAAATCACACCTACATAAAGATTATAGTATATGATAGGTTAATGACTAGTTTTTGTATATATAACATTTTTTTAATAATATTATTACTCATATAAACAGCTGATCTATTTATGATTAACTAAATCAAACTTCTAGATTCTTCCCGATGACTAATAAATAAGAAAGAAAGAAAGAAAATATCAAAAATTAATAGTTACCCAAATCTTCTCATTTGAAAAATTTGGAAAATTAAATAATTTTTCTAAAAATTATTTATTTTTTAGAATTATGTTTAAATTATTCTTATTTTTAACATTACTAGCATTAATCTATGCCCAAATTAGCTTTCTTGATCAATTACTTTGAGGTATTAATGAAATGATAAAATAAATATATTTATGTTGTAATCATGATTTTTGTTATAATTGATACCAAATGACTCCAACTATCGCTCATATACATCCTGTCCAATCCGATTAAGTCGGAGGAGAGCGTTTGAACTCGATAGATCATAGTTCGAAAGAATATGAATCAGTTCGGTCTTACATCCGTCATGTAGCGCACTAGAAGTTAATATGCGCATGCTGGAATACGATTTCGGGGTAAAGCCTTTAAAAATTTTTTAAAAGACATGTATGTGGGCGAAAAATTATTTAACCTTAAAAATTTTGATATACCCTGAATTCCAATATGGTATATTTATTTTATAAGTGCATCCATCATTCAGAATTCGTGAGAAACGAAAAATGGGTAGTACAAGTCACATTTCTCTGGCTGACATTGATTGTGTGAACATCATGACAGCTGTGGTTAATTCAGGCATCGATTGCTTTTATCGGAATGGAACCCAAGTTCCCACTAGAGTGAATACATTGAATAGAAACATCGGGGTGAATGCTAATAAGAGACGACTATATCGACAGAGATGTCGAGATATTCGATACAAAAGATATCAAATTATTCGATCGAGATGTCGAATTACCCGATCCGAAAAAGGATATTAAAGTATCCAATAGGGGTATATTCGATCCAATAAGCAATAGGGATGGATAAGGGTAGGAAACCGTAACAAGTGGTCGCGAACTAATATTTTTTGTAATTATCGTCTCCCTGCTCATAGAATTGACGTTTACAGGCAAAGGTACACTATTTGAGGCAATCACAGGGGCGACATTATCATAATCCAAAGGTTGATAATGATGTCAAATAGATCTATTACCCCAGCAATCACAGGTGAGAGAAGGAAGACGAGGCGACATTATCATAATCCAAAGGTTGATAATGATGTCAAATAGATCTATTACCCCAGGAATTATTTTATTGCCAATCGAGAGAGGGAGAGACCGAAAGACCTTCTAGAAAATGTTCCTCTAAATTGGTGGTATTTTCGACGATCGTTGTCGATCATAGAATAAATCAATCTACCCTCAGGTATAACGGATCCTGTTAGTGAATCAAAATAACAAAAATACAATCTCGATTGAAAAAAATGTTTATTTTTTGTTTAATATGTCCAATAGGGGATAATGTATATACATAATTATAATGACATATAACAAAAAATAAACATTCTTCAATGGATATTACCGGCGAATGCAGTATTTAGTCATCGTCAGGTGTTGAGTCGACAATATTTTACACATAAATATAAGCAGTGAAAACAAAACGAAGATATTTCTATCAATAACGCCAACAATATGTGCCTTACAAGTTAGCAGTTATTTTTCTATTCCTAAACTTAATTATATTCATAAAGTAAATATCAAAGATATCTATCATTTTTGAATTTTTTTTTAGGTTTTCCACATGTATCTACACCCAAATATAAAATACATTTGATTTTCTTTGATATAATATTTATTATATTTATGCATTAAGCGCCCTCTTTCGAAGGCATATTTATAAAATTTTAAAATTGAAAAACAAAAAATAAAAAATTGAAAAACAAAATTTGAGTTGTAATAAGGCATAAAATAATTCGGGGGTTTCCAGATTTAATATTTATATATTTATTCATTAAGCGCCCTCTTTCGGAGACATATTTATTAAATTTTAAAATTGAAAAACGAAATTTCATTTGTAATAAGGTATAAAATAAAAGATATTATAAATGTATTGAATAACCATTATCATCGTCATTTGAAGATTTTGTAACCAAATAAACTGACATTAGTGTGTATTTCTAATTCAAATTACATAAATTTTTATATAAAAAAATTAAAATATACCATGATTAACGGATATGTATACAGATTTCTGCTAAGTCCATGCTGTTTATAATTTACCAAATTAAACGGTTTTTCTTTTATTTAAAAAATTATAAAAAATAAATTAAAATTTTTTAAAAACTACTATCAATATAAATTCAATTTATTTTCGCTATTTTTACGTAGAAAAATTTAAAAAATATTAAATAAATAGCTCACAGTTCCCACTTACCGAAAAATTTATAAAAATAATATATTTTTTTCTTTTCTCTTTAGCTTTCACCTTTTCTGGTGGTAAGCTCCTTCAACATCTCTCTCCACTTTATGTTATTCGTACAATCTCTTTTATCTATTTTATACTTCTTTATATTGGCTCTAACTTTATGGCCCCATTGAAGTTTTGGCCTTCCTCTTTTACGTTTGCCCATCACTTCCAATCTTTCAACTTTATTTCCTATGTAGTTCATAGGCCTTCTCATTGTGTGCCCATACCACCTAAGTCTGTTTACCATTAACTTAGTCTTAATGGGCACTACCTTTAAACTATTTAGTATTCTTGTACTGCGCACCTTATCCTTTCTTGTTACCCCAGCAATCATCCTCAGCATTCTCATCTCCATAGTTTGTAGACTTCTCTCGTCTGATTCTTTGGTTGGCCATGTTTCCGAACTATATAGAATAGTTGGTTGTACTATGGAACTGTAAATTTTTCCCTTTAATTTGTGTGGGATTCTTTTGTCAAATAGCATTCCAGATAAAGATCTCCACTTTAACCACCCTTGATTAATCTTATTCTTTATCTCTTTTTCTATTGTGCCGTTTGTTTGTATAGTGGAGCCCAAATATTTGCAGCTTTCAATTGCGGATATCTGCCAATCATTTATATCAATACTCTCCGTTTCATCTCCTCCTATCACCATATACTCCGTCTTTTCTCTATTTACTTTTAATCCGTGCGTTTCTAGGATATTTATCCAATTCACTAACCTTTCTTTCATTTCATCCTTGGATTCGGCAAGTATCACTATATCATCTGCAAATATCATATTCCACGGGACTGTTTGAGGTATAGACTGTGCTAATACATCTATTACTGTAATGAAGAGAAGTGGGCTGAGAGCCGACCCTTGATGAACTCCTTCGGCTATTGTGAAGCCTGCTGAAGTACCTGTTGTGCTACGGACCATTGTTGTATGTCCCATATACATATCCTCTATTATTCTTATATATTTTTCGGGAACTTTTTTGTGGCGTAGCGCCCACCAGATAAGTTTTCTTGGGATTCTATCGAAGGCCTTTTCTAGATCGAGAAAGACCATGTGTAGCTTTTTGTTCTTTTCCCTGTATTTTTCACTCATTTGCCTAATTGCATGGATAGCATCGGTTGTTGATCTTCCAGGCATAAAGCCAAACTGTGTCTCTCCTATTTCGATTATATCTCTTAATCTTTTTTCTATTAAGAGATATAATCGAAATAAAATTATTAAATTTATAATATAAAAAACTATAAAATAAGCAAAAATGATAGTTATTTGTGGGTTATAAGAGGTAGCCATTTTATCAATTAATTTTTTTTTACCCCCAAGTCAAACTTGAACAGGTGTCTTGGAGTAGTACAGATGACACAAGAATTACAAACATATGGGGATAGGATCAATATATATAATATATCAGAGATCCGCAGAGGTACCATTTGTACAGCCAGGTCCGGATTTTTTAAAAAAAAATTTAACCGGCCCGGCCCGAATGTTTTTTTAACAAAATTTTCAGGCCCGGTCCGGCCCTGGTAAATTCAAAAAATTAAAATCCGGCTAGGGTATCCGGGCCGTGTTTAGGGCCGGGCCTGCAGGCATCTGATATATATTAATAATATGTTTTATCGCAATTTTATACATAATTTTTTTTTTTAAATTATTTTTTTTTTTAAATAAAATCGCTAGATGAAATTCTCCAATAAACTAATTTTATTTTTCCTCTTTAGATTATAATGTTTGAATTATAAGAAAAAATTAAATATAATAATAGGTATATTTTATTTAATATTTAATTAGGGGAAAATCGTATATTAACAAGGGAAAAAATTAAGGATTTTAACAAAATAAATTTAACAATTTTATTTTTATAATTTAGACCCTAAAAAATTTAAGCCAATGAGATGTTATATATAGAAATTTTTTATTTACATTTTTCGTTATCTCTATATTATAGTGAAGAAGAAGCTGATATAGATAATATTTGCACTCTTTATTAAAACAAACATCCCCTAGAAAATTAAATCTTTTTTTAAACTAATAAAATTTATAAAAATATGTTAAAATTATTCTTATTTCTATCATTGCTCGCATTATTCTCTACCCATTTTCACGACTCTCGACGTTATGACCATCATCGCGGTATTTATGGTAAGATGAAATCATAGACGTATATAATACCTAGACTGACGATTCATTCATTAAAATGCATTTTTAAGCGTCGTTGAAATGCAAATCAGCTGGATCCGCCATTTTGGTAACACATATATTAATTATTCTCGTGTTAAAATCTCTACTAATTAAATTGATAACTTGCTTCCTTATTATCTCGATGATCCTGTAATTCTTTAATAAAGTTTGCGTCAGAATATAAGAATCAATTAGGCTCTCGTTCAAAATTTTAAATGATGTTTAGTGTAACCAAGATGGCGTCTCCAGCTGATTTGCATTGATGTACACTTTTAATGAATGAATCGTCAGTCTAGGGTATAGGTATATGTCATTGGATGAAATATAAAAATGATAATATTTTGAAAATAAAATTGATAATAATATTTATTAGAGGTTAAAGTTATACCATATCAGACACGCTATCGCGGCCATCATGGGCATCATGGGAGAAATCATCGCCGCCCCAGTCACGACTCGCGGCAAAGATGCCAAATAACTGTAATCAAAGATGGAAACAAAATATACCCTTCTGATAGATGGATAAATCTCAGAATTAGTAAATTTTCTCAATATGTTAGCGGCAAATGTGTTTTTTCCGGAAATTTGATATTTTTTTTTGATTTTTTTTAGCAATTAAAAATGTGATTTTACCTGAAAATTCCAACATGTTTGTTCAGACAATTTTGCCAAGAAACTTTTGAACTCATTGTATATTTATATTAGTTTTTTCCATAGATTTTTTTTTATATTATAAATTATAAATTATAAATTATTCAAAAGGTTAAATTGGTAAAATTATCTACGATTGATTCCTTAAAATAAGTAATTCTAAATATGCCTGGAGTTTAAATATAAAAAGTCTAAACATCTCAGTGAATTTTTT